GCTGTGAGGTTTCTTGAGCCTGTCAAGGTGGTAACGAATCTTCCAGAGAGATGCGGGTGACCACGTCCCAAGGTTACTTGACTCTCAGGAGCTTTCCTGGTGAAGCATCTGGCAGAAGCGGGATTTACAGCGCACACTTTTGAAAACAACCTCAGTAAGAAGTGTCAGTCGCCTGGAGTCCTTTCAAAGCACATGGTGTTCCATGGGCAGACTCTGAACTTCTGGATGGTCTTGAGCAATCAGGCTCTTATTTATCTCCTGGGCCTTAGCCTCATCTCTCGTCACACCCTCTCGTACTCACGGGCCTGTGAGAGGGAACTACTGGTGGACTTTTCTAGAAGAGCTTCCTTGGGCCTCTGAGTATGCAGTATTTCCTTGGCCTCCATACCCTCTCCATCTTAGTCCTGCCACAACACCCACTGCCCTGATCCACTGCGGTCAGGACAGCGCTCTGCATCCTGTTACTATGTGCTCAGCACCTGCCACAGTGTGTGGGGCACAGGTGGCCGCCACATACTTGCGGAATTATTGAAACAGTAGCATTGCTAGACAGTCGGCTGGGATTCCAGGAGCGCAGCACTCCATTAAAGGCTTACAAGTATCTGCTTCTTTGTACACGAGCAGCAGTGTCCCTATTACACTCAGTCACCAAAGTCCTGTCTTCTGATACAACGTTGAACTCAGTTTTATTGATCCATTGAAAGTAGAGGGGCAGAGCGGTCTATGAACTGAACGTGAAGATGTCTTTCTTGTCTCTGGGTCACTGGCGTCCTATCAAAGGGGCATGGGCAGATACGGAATTGACTGAAGGAAAGAGAATGTGATTCGGTCCTTGGAAATGCCAGCTGGGGCTCAAGGCCAGAGCTACAGGACAACCTCGTGTAGGCACTTAAGCATCATCACACCCTTTTCTTGTTGGTATCTATAAAGTTATCATCAAAGTCTGAGTATGCAACTATAGTCACCCCCACACACGTGTGGAGGCCAGAAGACAACCTTGAATGTCAACCTCAGTAATGATGCCCCTTTGCTTCAAGACAGGATCGCTCATTGGCCCGGAGCTTGCTAATTAAAATCTAGACTGGCTAGCCAGCCAGGATGAAGTATCCTCCCATCTTCCAGCATGTATGTGGGTTCTGGAGGTCAGATTCAGGTTTCATGCTTACAAGGCAAGCACTTCACTGACTGAGCCATCCTTCTGGGCCCCAAACCATCACAGCCTGTCCAATGTCCTCTTTCTTCCCCTAGCATCTCAGATTCCTTTTTCCCCCTGGAGGCAGGGTTTCTCTGGGTAGCCCTGGCTATCCTGGAACCTGTTCTGCAGACCAGGATGTCCTCGAAGTCAGAAATGTACCTGCCTCTGCATTGTGAGTGCTGGGGTTAAAGGTGTGTGCCACCACTGCCTGGAGCACCTCAGCTTACTTCTTACTTTTTCCATTCCGTGAAGCATTGCTGGTGAGGACTGAAATACTGCCCGAAGAACTTGGCTTCTAAGACTTCCAAGGAGACATTTAGGCAACCTTGCAGGGGTGCACCAGAAAGTCTACAAACAGCTAGGACAAAGGTCTCTGATTTGGATGAGGTCACTAAGTATAAGAGCATCACTACTTCATGGGGACTGGCCTTTGTTGTTCAATTCTCCAGTCTGCTCACTTTCCGGTTCTTGCAACTCCCCTACACAGCTATGATGGTGTTTCTGACCTCTAGGATGCACATAATACTGTCCAGATTGATGCTCTCAAAGACCTCTACTTGTGACTGCCATTCCCACCACTTTGAAGAGGTGAGTAGCTCTGTGTGTGAGAGAGATTTTATGAACCATCTGTTCTTTTGAATGTGGCCCTCATCATACACTTCAATCAGACTGAACTGCTGTAACTAAGCAAGCATAACTCTACTTGCCATTGGGGAGCTCTTGGGTACAGTCACGAAGTATGCTTCTCTACACACTGGTCCCCCAAAGAGAGGGATGCAAATTTACATGTATTTTCAGTTTCATTTTATGATAAATGAGATAATTAACTTATGGGAATCCATAATGCTGTAATTATTGTTATTTTTGTTTCTGCAGAAAGAGAAATTCTCCATGAAAAAAAATTAAAGTCTGAGTTACAAGGAAAAGTAGAACAAGTTTCAATGTCTCAAAACCACAGAGCCCATGCTTCAGACCCTCCAATTCCTTGCCTGAATAAATCAAGTTGCAGTCTTGACTTGGTGACATAGGTAAGTGGCTTAGGTATGGGGAGAAGAGAAAGTGAGGAGTCACAGCCTCCCCTCTGTGCTGAAGCTGTGAACTTCCTGGGGTACAGACGTCTTTTTTGAGTACGTCCAGAAGGCTACTCTTTCATCGCTTTTCCCTTGTAATTTTATGTTCTACATGTTTTTAGACTGCAAACTAATTCTTCTGTGTGTAGCTCACTTGGTTTAATTTTCTCTTAAAACATGTATTTATCTATCTTCATTTTGCCTGCATGGATATACACTGCATGTGTGTCTGGTGACTGCAGGGGCCAGGAGGGTGTTAGAGCCTCTGGAGCTGAGATTCCAGGCTGCAGTAAACTGCCCCGAGGGTGCTGGGAACCAAGCCCTGGTCCTCTGTAAGCACAGTAAGTGCTCTTGACTGCTGAGCCAGTTCACCAGCCCCTTGGATTAGTTTTCTGGCTGACATTGAGGAGCATTTCTGACTCAGGAGCTGTGTATTAACTAGATGAATTTTAGAAAAGGAAGGTGACTTTAACAAGAGATCCTCTGCACATTCTTACAGACTTGCAGCAGGATGAATAATAGTTTGCTTCCCCCTTTTAAAAGCCAAATAATTTTGTGGAAGTTAAAGATACAGCTCACCGCAAAGACCTGATTAACTGAAGAAAACTAAAGCTCCAGAACACTGATCTTATGAGGTTAGAAATAGCATCTCTGCTAATCAGCAAAACCAAGAAATGAAGAGAGTTTAAATCAGACCTCATGCCTAATGCATAAGTGTGTAACAGTTTTTCTGAGATTGAAACATTCTGTCCTGCAGGGAAGCTCCCCAAACAGGTAGATAAATATCTCAAAAGAGCTTCAGGAAGTCCCTGAAACTGACCAGACTCACCAGGCTCCACCCTGACAGAGTAAGCAATAAAAACTGAGACTTCCCCCTCAGACTTGTAAAAAAGACTCTTAGACAACCCAAGAAGACTCACACCAGCTGCCTGGAGAAGCAGGAAGCAGCCTAGCTACCTGGAAATGGTTTAGACCAACTGAGGTACCTACCTGCAAAGGACACCCTGCAACCTGTTGAGCTACCTGCAGACTGTGCAGTATGCTCCAGGTTCCTGGCATTGTGAGCTGTCACCTGTGTCTGGTGGGCTTTGGTGATGCAGCTGTCTTTGAGTCATTTCTGCTCCTGTAATTGACCCCTCACCCAAATACTCCTGTAAGAAACTGAAATAAAACTCACTGGTTCACCAACTCGGACTTTGGTGATATCTGTATGTTGGTCTGTGTGTGTGTGTGTGTGTGGGTTCTCTCTGGGACGAGTAGACATGGGTGCCGCATCTCCCCAGAAAAAGTGTTGTCACACAGTATTAAGGTTCAAAGTTCTTTACACCCCCACCCTCCCAAATTCATTGATTTGTTGGGGTAACACAAGATGCCTTTTCATGCACATATCGTCAGTGAGGTCTGTGGCCTACGGATCCCAGAAATACTAGCAATTCCTACATTTTCATTTTTGCAAACGGAGTTCTGCAATGGTGTACATCTGAGCCAAGGGGATTTGAACCTTTTTCTTGTCTGATATTCAGTGTCTGGGTAGATAGTGTTTTCAGTAATGAAGTGAGTCTTGAGATGACTTTTCTGAAGCTGCTACTCCATTTCAGTTGCACTTACTGTGACTATATTGAAATAGGAAAAAAATATATCCAGCAATAAGGTTTTTTTTTTTTTGCTTGTCTTTGTTTTGGTCACAACAAACTGTGAAATGCTGCTTTTCCTATAGTTCTAATGCATGAAATCTGCAATCTTTCCACTTGATTTACAAAGGACCCTTAATTACTGCTGTCATTAGCACCTACTGTTCAAAACAGTCTGTTAAAATATACTGTTAGTCTCACCTCCAAGTCCCTGCTTGCTTGGTTTTCATTTTTTCAAGGGTAAGTAAAACAATAATCGCTCTAATAACAACAGTCGTTATGTGCAGAGAAATAATATACCAAGGGGTTTTTTTCCACTGCTCATTTCTGTTCACTGAAAATTCGGTAGTTTGGGGCTGATGAGATTTCCAGCAGGTAAAGGTGACTGCTCCGGAGGTTGACAACCTTAGTTCAAACCCTGGTATCCATCCACCTCGGAAGAAAGAAAAAGACTCCACAAGCTGTCAGCTAGTTTCTACTCGTGCTGAGGCACTAGTCGCCTCCCCCTACCCAACAAATAAATAAACGTAGTGAGAAAAAAAATAAGTATTTGGGTTAAGAGGGTCCTAGAGTTTGAGCGAGAGTTCATCAGCACTAGCAAGGACTTACTCCTGGGTCTTAAAAACAAGTCACTCATTTGCCTTTTTTCATTCCACATGGGTGGGAGTGACAGCTGCCGGGAAGCTGCAATGTTTCTGCCTGGTCATGCACAGTTCTGCAATATAATGCATAAATGTATAACAACAACTTGGGCTCACTGGATACCTCGCTGGGCAGGAGGAAACGCAGCTAGTCTGGCGCGTCCCCGCTCACTCGCGCGTGCACACACACGCGCGCGCGCTCGCTCACCGCGCGCTTCTCTCACTCGCTCGCGCGTGCGTGCACACACACACGCGCGCGCGCGCGGGGTTCAAAAGGTGACCCACTCCTGAGATTCCCCCCAATCTTTGCTTTCCCTCCTCCTGGCAGCAGGTCGGGCTTCCCAGCCTGGGGAGCAGCTGGGCTGGGGACGGGAGGGCGGGTGTGTGTGCTGGTGGCGGAGGGGGGGAGTGGCAAGGGAGGCGGGAGCAGGGTAGGTGCGCGCCGCGCCCGCTCCCGCCCGGGAGGAGTCCGGGCCGGGTTTTGCGCCGGGTCCCCGGGCTCGTCTCACGGCCTCCAGCCGCCGCCGCTGCCGTGTTTACTGAGCTCGCGCGTCCTGATATCACTCCGCTGGCATGGAGGAGGAGGAGGAGGTGGAGGAGCGCGAGGAGGAGGAGGAGGCGGCGGCGGCGAGCAGTTGATCATTGTGATGGTGGCGGAGGCGGCGGCGGCAGCGGCAGCCTGGCCGAGCGTTAGGGGCTGCTCTCCGCGCGGCGTTTCGCAAAGGACTTCAGCGATCTACTTTTGCAGTCGCCTCGGACTGTCCATGTGTTTACTTGCCCCAGCCCGAGGACTCGATGTCTAGGCTCCTGTGAAATGCAACTGAGCAGCCAAAGTACTTTGAGAACACGGGGCGGCATAAACACCAAAACTTTTTTGTGGAAGGAAAATGCAATAAGCAAGCTCGCCGTTTTCCGATGCGGCGTGGAGTGAGTGTGTGTCGCGCGTGTCCGCACTGGAGGCACACGCTCGTGTGTGTACATGGGGTGTGCTTTTCGGTACGTAGGGAGAAAATGCTTGCCAACCACCGGAAACCTCCTGGAATTTATTAGAAAATAATGGATTATTAAAAGGAGGCAGGCGAGGAGCGGATCTCCCCTTGAGTTGCAAGCCGATCTGCTGCCGGCTCAGTTTGTTGGGATTCTATTTGTTGATAGGTGTCTGATGGTATTCCGATAACACCCCCTCTTTCCTCAGTTTTTTTTTTAAGGAAACAACAACAAAAACCATCCCCAAATCTCTCCCCCCCTTTTTTTTTCGCCCCGTGGGGATCGCTGTTTTCATCCATGTGCTCGCGTCTCCCCCGCGTTCCACTTAAACTATTTTAATCCTTGGACCCAAGGAGGAGGCTGATAGGGGGGTGGATTTAAAAAAAAAAGTTCTTCCAAAATAGTGTGCCCCGGGAGCAGGATGGGGGATTTCGCAGCCCCCGCTGCTGCCGCGAATGGTAGTAGTATCTGCATCAACAGCAGCCTGAGCAGCAACCTCGGCGGGGCCGGGATCGGCGTGAATACTCCCAATAGCACTCCGGCTGCTCCGAGCGGCAATCACCCCGCTGCCGGCGGCTGCGGCGGCTCCGGGGGCCCCGGCGGCGGCTCGGTGGCCGTCCCCAAGCACAGCACGGTGGTCGAGCGGCTCCGGCAGCGTATCGAGGGCTGCCGGCGGCACCACGTCAACTGCGAGAACAGGTATCAGCAGGCTCAGGTGGAGCAGCTGGAGCTGGAGCGCCGGGACACCGTGAGCCTCTACCAGCGGACCCTGGAGCAGAGGGCCAAGAAATCGGGCGCCGGCAGCGGCAAGCAGCAGCACCCGAGCAAAGCCCAGCAAGATGCGGAGGCTGCCTCGGCGGAGCAGAGGAACCACACGCTGATCATGGTGAGGGCGCACTGGGGCGCGTGGGGGTCGGGGGCGTGGAGTTTCTGGCGTGGGGGGGCGTGTGAGGGTCTGATTTGCACCGGGGGTGAGCGAGGTGGGATGGAGCCGAAGGGTTAACGTCAACTTTTCTCCGAGTAAACGCTGCCGTTGACGCCGCCGCCGCCGCTACCTGTTAATCTGTCAGGGTTGTCAGATTTGGGGAGGAGGGGATGAGAGGGAAGCCAGTCACGACTGCAAGGGGAGGAGGGAGCTCCCAGAGCGTCGGAGTGAGGTGCGGGAAAAGTTTCCCCCTCCTGGTCTTAGAAACCGATCCGAATGAGAGTGAACCCCGGGAGCAGACACCACGCTGCTCTTCTCCGCGCCCCGCCTTAACCTCTCGCCGTGCCACCGCGCCTCCCCAGATCGGTCCCCTTTCGCCCACCCCTCTCCTCGCAGCCGCCGGCTGCAGGGAGAAATTGATGCTGCGGCCCGTTCTGACTGGGCACCAGGCCCTTAACCCTTAGGAGGCAAAGGAGGAGTCCCTGGCTCCCTCTCCTTGGGGCTTGGGAAAGTCTGAGAGTTTTGTGAATGAACTTTGAAGTGGGGGAGATGCGAACGAGGGTGGCTGCGCGCGCGCGCTCGCTCGTGCTTGTGGGGGAGGCGCGCGGATGCGGGCTTGCGCGAGCGCTGCGCTCGCCGCTCGAGACCCGCGGCCGAGGCAGGGCAGGCGGGGGCAGCCGCGAGGGGTCGAGAGGGACGTGGCTGGGCGGGAGCACGGAAGCCAGAGCTGCGTTTTGATGTTTGCCGCGGCCGCTAGGCTTGGAATTGTCCCCCGTCCTCTCCCTCAACTTGCCCCCACCTCGTTCTCCGCCAACTTTCCGGCGCCGCGGAATGAGCCCGGAGGAGTGGAGGGGAAGCAAGGAGGAGAAAGGCTTAAATGGCCGGGTGGGTGGGTTCGCGGGAGGGTGCGCAGCCAATGGCTTAAGTGCTAGGGGGAGGAAGGGGCCGATCCCACCCCTAACCGGGAGGGTGGAATCCTTTCTCTTATCTCCCCTCCAAGGCTCCCTCTCGCTCTCCTCCTTGGGAGGGGGAGGAGGGGGAGGCAGGAAGCCTGGGGAAAGGTGTCTGCGCTCCCTCCCCCACCGTGTCTCCCGGGTCGGGGCCCCGGGGACGGCCAGCTCCCGAGAGCGCGCCCCTCTCTCCCCACCGCGCCTCGGTGGGCTGCGCGGAGCCGGGAGCCGGGAGCCCGGCGCGGGACGCCCACTCCGCGTGCCTTCTGGGCATCGCGCACGTTCCGGATCTCGGAGCGCCAGGGGTGGTGCCAGTGTCGCCGGGCGCTCGGGCGGGCGGTGACAAAGAGCCTGCGTGGGGGGAGGGGAGGCCGCGGAGCTCGCTCTCTCCCGCCCCCCACCCGCACGTGAAGAGGAACAATTTGTTTATCTTGGGCTTCAAGAATCCTTCCCTCCTCCCTGCTCTCCTTGGCCCCTCCTCCCCGCCCTCCCTCTCCGGCGCGCTCCTGCCCAGTCCCGCCTGCAGCGCCCTCCTCCTCCCCGCCTCTCCCTCCCCGGTCTCCCCCTCCACCGCCCGCCCGCCCTCCCGTTTGGAACGCGGCCGTGGGGGGAGGGAGCGGGAGGCGCTTTGTCCGCCCGGCGGCCCTGCGCAGCCCCGGGGACCGCCCAGCGCCTCCGGCCCTGCCCCCTCCCCCGCCCCAGGCCAGCACCGCGGCGGGAGGAAGGACCCGAGTCCCTGAGCCTTCCCGGGACTTGCAAACAGGAAGCTCCGAACCACGCACACACTGCCCCTTTCCTGGTTGTGCCCTGAGACCGGCGTCTTCGCTGGAGTTGTCGACCCGGGTGGCACCGGTGTTCCTAGCAGACCCCCAGCCTCCTCCCTGCCCTCGTCCCCAGTCGTGGGAGAGTCACCCGGCGAACCCGAGGCTGCAGGAGACTAAGCCAGGCATCGAGGATTCTAACCTTGCCCACCCCACCCCCCTTTCAGTGTTCGCTCACCTTCTGCTCCCTGATTGCCTCGAAACCGACTTTCTGCGTGAGGTTCCCAAATTCCCGTCTTGTGACTCAGCTTACGACCTTTGGGGAGGGGGTACTGAACGACTGTGGAATAAAAGCCACTTTTTTTTTTTTTTTTTTGAGATCTGGTGCGGAGGCGACAGGAGTAGAGTTACGGAGCCGAAAGTTTTGTCTCTGGTCCGTGTCCTCCCTCACCATCTTTTGATGGAAGTAGGACAAGGGTGCAGGCTATGCTAACATACCCTCAGGTGGAAAAGCCTAGGAAGCCACTCGCCCCAGCCAGGGTTTAACTGCAAATTGAAAATATAAAAGCGTATTTGAATAGATGAGGACAGCAACTATAAATTTCGCAATGAATCCTACTTTAATAAGCTAACAACAAATAGACTTGAAAAACGATTGCCTGAAAAATCAAAATTTTCCATCAGTTTTCAATAATTTAGCTTATTGACTTATAGAATTATCAAAACCATGTGCAAAACAATATATTATAGCTTCTTCCGATTCATAATCACCTCAAGGATGCCAGTATGAAGTACGTGTGTTGAGTGGAATGAAAATAAACTGCTTTAATTTGAAGCAAAGACTTGCGTGTGTAGATTCTGTTCACAGAGAAAAATTAACATCATAACCATCCTCTATGGGTTAAGTTTTCCTGTAAAATGATTAGTTCCACAATTCACATCCGCTTCTAAGATGGAAGAATACTCTAAGCTTAGCCTATCTACGAGATAAAAGATCTTCAAGATGGGTTACTAAGAAAATGTTCCTCTTCGTTTTCTTGAATGGACTGTTGGATTATAGTGGAACTCCAGTGAGACACAGAGCAATTACATTTAGTTCTCGAATTGAACCCACTATTTGGAAAGCCCTAAAGAAAAATGGTGATCAACCACAGCCAAACAACAGCGATGATAAAAATAGAAGCGAACAGGATTCTTTTTTGTTTTATTGCTATTGTTTACCTTCTTAGGACCAATATGTCCAAAGTACTAAATATCGATTGATTCTTCCTGCCTGGCTTGGGTTAAGAGGACAATCTAATGAGGGCTTTGCTGCTTTTGATTTGTTTTCCTGTGTTACACATTTACAACCATAGGCGTGAAAGACAGACACACAGACTAGCAAGCCAGCAGTAATCTTCCCTGGTTCTAGACTATTTTAGATTGCGGTGGCTTCTCTGTGGCCTGGGGCATAGAGCAGGCAGCACTCCTAGATTTGAACATATCCTTTCTAGACACAGATAACCTCCATCCAGACATCAGCCAACCCATTTTATTTTTTTTATAGAGCCCCCCCCCAAAACCCTCTTGGTTCCTTCATGATAACTATTGACTTAATGCATTTGAGAATCTCAATGTTTTCCAATGTCTTTTCCAAAGATCTTTTTTCTGGTAGCAAAATATGTTCATTGCCGTACTTGGAACATGATCTGGGTCCAGTGTTAAGATCCTTTTGATTTTCAAGCCCAAAGATTGATTGACTCGACCAAGGTGCCATCATTTAGAGACATCACAAGCACATCACTGCTTTTTTGAGGGTCTCAAAATGCTGGTAGTCTTACTCACCCTGGAGACCTGTGCTGTGTATGGCCTTTCCTGTCATCATTCGAAGAATTTATAGACAGTTTGCAGAGTGCACAAACCAGTGTGGCCCATGTCCTGAAGAGTTTAATCACATAAAATTCATTTGATAATATATGTATTAATCACTGAGTACCGGATATAAGTGTACCCCATCCATCCTTGGAATAGACCCAGGAAATGCTGACCATGCTAGCTCACTATTGAACTTTCTTCTCAAGGGATCCTGTTTGCCTTTTACAGTTGTGATAATCTTTCTGGCTTTCCTGTGACTGCTGTCTTGGGTGAGAGGGATGGTTTTGCCAAGCCTTCCCATCACTTGATCCAGAGTGTCTTAAGTTTGTGAGAGCACTGTGAACGTTTATTCCTCCCGACTTGACAATATGGCACTCTATGCTTCAAATCTCAAGAAGGATTGCTTTCAAGCAGCTGTTGGGGAAGTCCTGTGCATTTGTCAATAAAGAATAAAGCACTGTCTGGCCAATAGGGAATCTAGATAGGAGGGACTAGGAGTCCAGAAGGACTCTGGGTAGGAGAAACACTGAGAGTTCGAGATGTAACGCCATGGGGTAGGATCCCGGAACTATTCTCCGGTAAGAGACATACTTAGATTAACAATTATGGGGTAATTACTTAAGTCAGAGCTAGGCAGTAAGAAACAAGCAAGGCCAACAGCTTCATAATTAATATAGCCTCGTGTGTGTTTATTTGGGACTGATGCGGCTCTAGAACCAAGCTGGCGGGAAGGCTTCTCTCAAGGAAAAGGTTTCCCTTAACAAGCAGCAATACACATAATCCTGTTTTATTTTGTACACCGTGGTCAACAGTCAGCCTTTGCAAGTCCGGTTAGTTCAATCATTAGTCATAATCTACAAAATGAAGTCCCTTCCCAGGTAAAGCTGGCTCTGGCGTAGCATTCATGATAATCTCCATCCTGTCTTTAGAGTCATGAGAACAAACTAGATATTTTTCAGATTTTCTGCCTCATTGATATGAGAGAAATGAACATTTTCTGGCTACTGTTTGGTTTCTGTAGGAGAGATGAGGATCACGGAAGGTCAAGTTTCCCTACATTGAGTTACTTTCTCCCTAAACCTGTGAGACTCACAATTCGCTGCTAGATTTCCCAGCAGGGCTTTTCATTTGGCTGGGATAAGAGTGCTTGTGAGCAAGCGTCCCCTTCTGCTCTTGCGCCTCCTGTCCCCAGAATCCAGCGTAATAAAGGAGTTTGCATGTCACAGTAATTTTGTGGATGCATCCACTTTGTGGATGCTCCTTAAGGAGTTTCTGTGGGTGGTGAATATTCTGTTTGTTTTCCAATGGTTCTTTTGCTGCACTCTTTCCTAGGGTTGATGATAGCCAAGTCCTGTCCTTTTAACGATGCCCATATGGAGAAGTGTGGAGTCAGTCA